AAAACTTTAAATATGTCCTAAGTATAATTCTTTTTGGTAGCTGATACGCAAAAATGAGTTAATAGACCCTAAAGCACTTAAAACGGTACCTTGGCATATAGTAAGTGCTTTACTATGTAACTGTTTGCTGTTATTACTATTAAGAGCATGAGTCTTAGACTTGGACAAAGCTGGTTTTGAATCCTAGGTCTATTATATTAGTAGCTCTGAGACCTTGAACAGAGTGCTTTCACTCTGATTGTTCATCTACGAAATATCGACAATAACTTTTTAAATTGTTTCGAGGATTAAGTAAGAGAAATATATTAGCACAGTGATTACCATATCATAAACATTCAACATGTGGTAACTATAGTTGTACACTTTGAATTTCAGAAATTTTTATAGAGAAGTATAGCATACATATCAGTGTTTCCATTAAGAATAGTTTAGTCATAAATACTCTAAAATCCAAGAGAGTTTTAAGTAAAGAGTTAAGGACTCATATCGATATGGTTTTAAAAAATAAAAATCATAGTACAAGTCTACTATTTATTTGACTTTGAAACTTTTAAGTACATCTTAACCATTCTTGGAATGATGCAGATTTACTGAATTTGACACCTGCTCCTAATAATGGAACTCATGGAAGTCTTAACCACCTTCTGAAGACTCCAGTTCACTTCCCAAAGCATCCCAAAGAAGGTCGCCCCCTGGTACAGTGCCCCTTCACAAGGACCTCCAGTGATAACTTTGGCTGCTCGTGCAATCCCTTAGTAAGTATTGCTGAGAAGTTGAGTCTGGGGTGTGTTTTATAGCACCCTCTGCATAGCATGTTCTGTAGAAATACTTAATGATGTGATTAAAATGCATGAGTGGGAGTAAACATAATATTTATTTTTAATTCTAGTAACACATGTGGACCTTGTATTTTTTATTTTTCCTTTACCTTGTTTTTGCATTTTTGCCTCTATTTTTATTTCTGGGTGCAGTGTCTTGACTTTCAGGTTGGGAGAAGTCTAGCTGAGTGTTGGATCCTTGAATCATAGACTCGGTGCTGTTATCTTAGCAGTGAGATCTGGATTGTAAACCAGTCACAATATTCCTTCTCTAAAATACTTCCCAACCGATTTTAAATTTAGGAGAAAATATATTATTTTTTGGTACAAAATGGATAATATGGCACTTTTCCTCTTCTACTCCGATCTTAATATATAGTTTTTGTAAAAGGATGAAAATATGTGACAAATTAGGAACAAAGTTGTAGATCTTTTTTGATAAGATCTATAAATATAGAAAATTGGGTAGTAGTTGATTTGATGCATTCTCTTTTGTTTTAGTCTTGTAGAAAGACTAAGAATAGAGATAGGAATTATAAAGTAGTCATCATATTCTTCAATGAATAGTGTTGCACTTATTCTAACAATTTTATCTTTTTGCAACTGTTGTCCCTATCCTTTATCCTCTTCATCAAAAAAAATGACGTATACAGATGGTTTTAAATTTTATCTTTGTTCTACAATGGAATAATTAAGCTGTAGAAGTTATTTGTTACAAAATTAAAACA